CCCTCCAAACTGCCCTCTCAGCCTGCACTGTCAGGGGCTGGCTTCAGGAGGGGACTGTGTGACGTTGCAAAACCCCCCTCCCCGCTCCTCCCCTCCCCAGCAGAGAGCCCCCAGCCATTCGGATCGATGGGCAGGGCGGGGGCCATCTCCAGGATGGCTGGCGGGGCCTCGGGGAGGTGGTGGGGAGGCAGCAGCATCAGGGCTGAGTGGCAGAGACCACCACCCTCTCACCAGGGCTCAGACCCCTGACCCAGGGCCAGGGTGGCCAGCAGCCTCCTGGTGGACACTCGCTGGGGAGCCTGAGCAGGCAGCACGGTCTCTTCTGCTCCAGGGTCTGGCATGAGGGGGATGGTGCCCAGACTAGTCCAGCAGGGGCAGCAGATGCCCGCCCCCATATTCATCCTGAAGCTGGGGGCCTCTGTTAGTGGATGGTGCTGCACGGGCCCATCAGGGTCAGAAGGGAGACAGAGGCCACCGAGGGCTGACTCCCCTGAGGTGGGTGTCTGCACTTTTGCAGCTGGTACAGCGCCTGCGCCTCCTCCAGCCAGCCCTCTGCTGGCCTGGGCCAGGTGTGCAGGGGACCCATGGGGTCAGAAGCTAGGTGTGTGTGTGGCAGGGGCCGGCTCCCCCAAGCTACACCAGCCCCTTGCTGGAGGGTGCCCTCCGGTCATTTGAGCTCTGTCGTAGGCCCAAGGAGCCTCTCAGGCCAGCCCATCAGCAGAGGCGCCATGGATAGGTAGACCCAAGACCAGCATGGCCACTCCAAACCTTTCTGTGTGTGGTGCTGGGGACGTGGGGCTGCCAGAGGGGACCTGAGGGGTGTCAGGAGGGGCCCAGGGTTGAGCCCCATGCCCAGGGGCAGACCCCTCTCCTTCCAGCTCAGGAGTGTCTGCTGTTCAGGCCCCTGTGTCCCAGGTCACAGCCCTCAGAGGCCTGTGACAGGCAGAGAGTGACCCCTGGCACAGACCCACGCAGCCGCATGGAGGGAGGCCGCCTCCAGTGGGGAGGGCACTGCTCTGTGGTTGTGGATCCAGGCCCAAGAGCGGCCAGGACCACCCAGGGGGTATGGCCTGTCACCATGTCCCACTGTCCACATGGGGCAGTGAGGAGCTGGTGGGGGCTCCCCCCACTCAGACATCGGGGTGGGGGCTCCCCTCCACTCAGACATCAGGGTGGGACTGCCCCTCACTCAGACATTGGGGTGGGCCAGCCGGGATCCATGGGTTGGCAAGATGTGCATGTGTGTGAGCTCACCAACTCACCAGGCACACCTTTCATGCATCCCCGCCCCGCCAGCCCCCTTCCACCCCAGGCGCCACCTGGCCCCCTGCCCCCTCATCCATCTTGCCTGCCAGCCCGTCCCTGGTGCCCCCATATCTTTCACACCTTCTCATCTCTCTGCTCAATACCAGTGGCAACGTGGCAGCCCTGGCCTCGGGGAGACGGATGGGCAGGCAGGGTGGAGGAGGGGTGTGTGGGAGGGGGTGCCTGGAGAGCAGCCGCTCCCTGCTGTCCAGCCAGGAAGTGTGCCCTGGGGTTCTGGTGGAGGGGCTGGGTGAGGGGCCCAGTGGTGGGTAGGAGAGAAGAGCGGGTGTCCCTTTGTCCCAGCCCTGTGTCCTGGTGGCTGCACAGGCTGGCCTGGGGGAGGCAGGGCTGCACTCCTTGCCCCAGTCCTGACTCACCCTGAGTCCTGGTGGGCACTGGCAGTTGTACACACATGTTAGTTCATGTGCATGGGTGACATGCCCAGAAAGGCCTCTCTGGGCTGGGCTTCCGGCCACACTCGGATCCCTTGGAGGGAGCCCAGGTGCAAAGGCCCTCAGAAACACTCAGACACACAATAGAGTGCACCCACACATGAATGCATACACACAAGCACGTGCCCCCGCTTTGCCCACACTGAAGCTCTGGGCCCCGAATTGTAGGCGGCAGAAGCCCCGCCCTAGGCCATAGCCACCCTTGGGAGCCTGGGATGGCCCTCTGAGTGTGCCTCACACCATGGGGCCTGCTGTCGGGTGCTCTGGACAGCTATGGGCACAGAGAACCCCCGCTGACCCCAGGACACAGCGCCAGCCCGAAGGCCAGGCCTCCCTTCTCCCAGCCAGAGAGGAGCCACGCAGGACAGAAGACACGGCCCTGGAGCCTTGAGCATTCACGGCTTTATAGAATGGGAAACTGAGGCCCAGGGTGGGGTGGCAAGGGATATGTTGCAAAGCAGGTGGCTAAGGGTGCAGTGGACTTGGGACTTTGTCTCCGGCCCCTTCTTTCAGTGGGAAGCGCCTAGGGCCCCCAGCTGTGGCGGGTTAGGGTCCTGGGGTGGGGGCGGGGGTCAGTGCGGGCAAGGCAGGCACGGAAAAGGAGAGCTTCTCTGTTTGCATGAAGGCGATGCCCTTCTCATAATAGGCGGCCTCATTGATGAAGACGGGGTACACGGTGGCCTCCCCCTCATAGTGCACGTCTTTGCCGCTGAACATCTGGAAAATGGGTGCCCCGGGCTGCAGCGGCTCAAAGTCCCGGTCCTGGGGGGTGGGGGCGTTAGGGAGGTGAAGGCCAAGGTGCTGGGGCTGCCCTGTGTCCCGCCTGGCTGCACCCCTCCCTCTCACTTCCCACCCTGTCACCCCTCCTTCATCTGGGACTGGGTGTCTGAAGGTGCCTAGAGAGGGGTACACCAGAGGACAGACTTCTCATGAACAAATGCTCCCCACCCACCGGTGAAGGGCACAGATTTTGAAGCCTGAGTTTAAATCCTAACTAGCTGTGTGACCTTGGGTAGGTCCCTTTGCCTCTCTGTTCCTCAGCTTTCTCCTCCTATGTGAAACAGGGACCACGAGGACTCCTCTATCATCGGAGGCTTACGTTCGATCCCCTTGATCACCGGGAGGCTTACGTTCAATGTGCTGATACATTGGTACTTCTTAGACCAGTCTCCGGCACACGGTCAACATGATAGAAAAACTTATTAAATGTGCTCTTAGATTCTGGGAGAAATCACCCCAAATGACTGCTCTTACTTACCACCTCCAAGGAGAGTGGGTGGGCGGGCTTAACCCTCCACTGACTTGACAGGGTGCTGGCCCGTCCCACAAAGCCGTTGCCAGCGAGATAAAGCCGCCCAATAGGACCCAAAGCCGCAACAAAGGCAGTTCAGAAAAGCCCAAGCCAATTCTGAGTTTTGCCACGATTGTTGGTTGGGTCCGCTTTTAAAAATCTGGACTATCACATTCTCTCCCCCGCAGTTTCTTTCTTTTAGTGGCCAGCTCCATTGAGCCTCGGGCAGTAGCCAGTCTCATCTGTGTCACCCTGAGGCTGGCGCAGTGGGGTGGGGGTGTCTGCTTGCCAGGAAGAGGGGCAAGGGTGGTGGGAGAGGCGGTGGCCATTTGGGGGGGGGCGGGGGGAACCCTGAGATGGAAGATCACCTTGTGGAACTTCATCACCTCTGATACTGCGCGGTCCCCACCTGAGAGTCCCACCAGCAGGTGAGTGGGGGGGGGGGCCCCACAGAGTGCTCCTTGGAGCTGGATGAGGAGGGCCAGGTGGCTACCTCTGAACCCCCTGAACCCACTGCCCAGGACTAGGGAGCTAAGGCTTTGGTGTCCAGCGTGGGCACCTCCCTCCTGAGGCCCAGTGGGAACAAGGTCCCGACCACACGGAGCCTCGTCAACAGCGCCCCGTGTGGCATCAGTCAGAACAGCAGTTGGTTGGCCTGTTCCGCCCCCAAACTCACCCCCATCGAGTTGACTACAACTCATAACGACCCTTCAGGACAGAGAACTGCCCCTGTGGTTTGCAAGCCTGTAACTCTTTATGAGAGCAGAGAGCCTCATCTTCCTCCTGGGAAGCGGCCCCTGGACTACAACTGCTGATCTTTCTGTTAGCAGCACAGCGTGAAACCACTACCTTGCCCGGCTTCTCCCACCCTTCTCCCGCCCCCTCCCAGGACCGTTCAGAAAGGGAAGGCCCCGCAGGAGGAAACAAATGAAAAGTAAGGCGAATGGGCAGATGGGCTGGGCTCCACATCCCGCCCTCCCTCTGTCTTCTGGGGGTGGGGGGAGGCAGGTTGTCCAGCAGGTGCCCTTGGCGCCCTCCGCAGGTACCCACGGATCACTGTGGCCCCCCAGAGCCAGAGGAAGGCAGGAGGGGCCTGGCAAGGCAGGCGCTGGGGTGGGCTGGGATGACGGAGCAGAGGCCCTCAGGGAGACTCCCACATCAGGTTCCCCACTTTCCTGAACGCCCCCACGTCCAGGCAGTGACGTCAGGGATCTCACCCCCTTCCACTCCACACCTGCAGTTGAGGGTGCACTGTGCCTGCCAGGTCCCCTTCCTCCGTGCGTGGGAAATCCACGTGGCTCACGGTTCGGTAGGCTTCCATCTCAAAGGCTGGGAAGGCTGTGCCTGGGTGGGGGCAGCATGTGAGGCCATCTGCCTCCCAACCAGGCCCTCTCCTCCCCACGCCTGTTTCCCCGCAGGTGCTGAGGGCTGGGGGAGTGGGGTGACACCCACCTTGGTTGAAGAGCTCGATGAAGTCCAGCACTGCCCCCACCAGAGACCTCATCCTGGAGAGGAGGTCAGCCCGCAGCACGCCCTGGGGCTGGGGGCCCAGTTCCAGAGCTGGGGGGTCCGCAAAGCCTCAGGTAGGCGCCCCTCCTTGGAGAGGCTCCACCCACCGCTGGCCTCCAGACCCCGCCCCTCAACAACAGCTGCCCCTCCCTGACCACGCCCCACCCTCGACCCCCACCCATATCCCAGAGCCCGTTATGCATACACCCTCCTTTGAGAAGCTCCGCCCCTGATCTCCAGACCCTGCCCTCCATGAGAGCCGCCCCTCCATGACCACGCCCCCGACACCGGGCCCCGCCCACACCCCAAAGCCCAGTGGCCCACCCATTCCGTTCTTGGCCACCGAATTAATGCTGTAGGTCTCCTCTCCCGGAGCCTGGTACAGGAAGACCCGGCAGGGCATATCGGGGGTCTGCAGCTGGAGGAGGGAAGGGCGGCTCAGGGACTCGACTTACTCGGGAGGGGAAACTGAGGCTAGAGGCGGGATGGAGGAAGCAGGGCACCCCTGTCTCACTGGCCTCTTGGAGGACTCTATCAGAGGTCAGGGGACTCTGCAGGGGGCAGGTCCCTCAGGCTAGGGGGGAACTGGTTTAGGACAGATGGTCCAGGGTGGGGGTGGGGATGCCAGGGTCCAGGCTACCTGCAGGTGCCGGCACAGGTGCATGGTGAACACGTTGTGGACGCTGTCTGCGATGAGGCAGGTCCCCATGTTGGCCGTGGTGTTGTGCAGATCCAGGATGAAGTCGAAGGCCCGGCCGGAGGCTTTGGGCCCCAGCAACTGGTTCAGCTCCCGGGCCCTCTTCACCTCGTAGGGGTCCTCTGGTGTGGCCCTGGTGCTGTGTGACAGGAACGAGGTAGACAGGGCCCCTGTTGGCTTCAGGCTTCAGCAGTTTAGTGGGGAAGGGGACAGCTACATGCTGCTGCCTGGAGGTGAGACCCCGAGGCTCCTGGGGAGGCCTGCTCAGAGCTCCACCTTGTCCTCCCCTGGAACCCCCTGGAGTCTGGCCAGTCACCTCCCTCCCGTTCCAGGGTAATGCCCACTCACCTTTGAAGCGTGCCAGGGCTAAAAGTCCAGAGCCCTGGCCCTCCAGCCCTCCTCGGCCACCCTGCACTACTGCTGACAGAGACCAGGGACTCCCGGGCCAGCTCCTGGCTCCCTGATTGCCCTTGGCCAGCTGTGTTGCTCGGTATGGCCCCCAGCCTGGT